TATATATAATTTTGTTTTATAATGTGCCCACTCTCTGTCATACACTATGTATTTTTAAGCAAAGTTTAGAACAAATGGTAGTGCCCTAATCTGAGTTTTTAACGCTTGTTCTAGTTGTAATGTTCAAGTCTCAAGGTGTAAATGTTGACAGTTTCTGGCAAACACATTTTTCTAGAACGTCCCCCCCACACACACACTTTTTCATGTCTGCTGATTTAGTATATGCAGTGCATTGTATTTATACCATTTATTTCATTTTCTCCATAGACACACACTAATGAAATATTTGCATCAGAATGTCTGTGGATGTGCAGCATTTGCCATGGTGCTGACTGACTGGGCCCTCAGGGAGTGGCGGTCTGTCTGCGGTTTCTTTGTGCAGCCCTTTTCCCCATCCATGATTTTGGTCCCTCTCTCCAAGAGCATTTTTGGATCAGAGCCCTGTTATGTTCCACGCCGGATAATTGACTTGGCTTTCTGCATGAAACTTGTTTATGACTGTGTGAAATAAGATTAGTCTAAGTATTGAGGGGTTTCATAGCAGTGTAGGTCGGGATGTTTGATGTTATCATTATGTATTTTTTTTTAGAGACGAGCCTCAAACTATTTGCTGTGTGCATGTAACTTTATCTTGAGGTAAAGTGAAATTCATTGCCCTTTTGTCACCACATCTCCAGAGTCGTCTTTGTGTTTGTTCATTAGGATTCATGTTACATTAGTGAGAACCACAGGGTCCCCAGTCCCACTAGGTCTTTAACACCTAATACGGTATATTTTTTTGAAACAAGGTATATTTTCCAGGACACCTTTTCCTTTCTAAGAGGCAGTGGGTGGATACAATAAAGAAATTTATTTCTAAAAAGTTATTTCCAAATACTTATTTGATTTGTCTGACTCGTACTACTGAAGCCTTGCATTGCAGTAGCTTAAGATGAACTAAAAAGGCATTGAATGAGGATTATCATGATGTTCATGTTGCATCACATTCTGTCATTTTATTTGTTGCTTTCTTATTATTAATGTACACAAAACATATATTGCACATCAAATTTCCTATTGAATAATCTTATCTTAATCACTTTGTTTATCGCTGTTTATCGCGAGCAGCCTCATTGCTGGATTTCCCAAGAGCATAATAGAATTAAAGTCCTGTCTTTTGTGAGAATAGATGGTCATATATAAGGGATTACCTTGGTAGAATGAGACTGAGGAATAAAGCCATGATTATTCCTCTGCATGCTGTTTGTGTGTGTGATTTAGACAAAGGTTTAGCCTACATGGGTTTAGCTGGGTTCATCAGGGACACTAAAACACCCTGATGTAAAAGGTGGTCATTTCGTGCTCTTCCTGAAATATCACTCCTATTTGTTTTTTGTTTAAGTGTGTGTCTATGATGTATATGTGAGAAAGAGAGGCAACATGTAGTCTGTGTTTGGATGACCTGTCGTCTGATGGGTATGTTTAGAGGCCTCATTTGAGCACAATAACCCAATAAAAATATTCAGATGGGGAAAATTGCTTAGCTGAATTTCTTGGTATAAATTAGTGTTTGTGTACATGTGGGATTGTGTGACGGTAAAAGAGAAAGACATGATAAGAATTTGTATGAGTTGCTGTTCTTTTATTTTCAGATACTGCCTTAAATGAAGACCAATGTGTATTTTTGGATTCACAGTTCAGACCAGTTGAGTTTACACCGTTTACTGTGGCCTTACTTACCCTGATTCTCTATTAAGCTCACCATATGTTTGCTGTTGATGCTAATTGGTGGCAGTATTGATTAGGATGATGTTTTTCAGGCTCTTTGTTTCCTATT